GGGGGAGGAGGCGGCTGCCACCGGCAGGAAGTCAAGCCCGCAATGGGGGGCGGGGGAGGGGGCCAAACAAACACGCGGCGATAGTGGGGAGCGTAACTTGGAGGTGATTGCGTTGTTTCCCTGTCTGAGTTTCCATTAGCATCTCAGGGAAGGGATTGTGTGCGCAAGATGTGACGCCAGTGTCTCTTTTTCCAACATCATCCAGAAAAAATTGGACAGAAACACGTGGAAGGCAGTCAGCTCGCGGGGGCGGGGGAGGGGGCCAAACAAACACGCGGCGATAGTGGGGAGCGTAACTTGGAGGTGATTGCGTTGTTTCCCTGTCTGAGTTTCCATTAGCATCTCAGGGAAGGGATTGTGTGCGCAAGATGTGACGCCAGTGTCTCTTTTTCCAACATCATCCAGAAAAAATTGGACAGAAACACGTGGAAGGCAGTCAGCTCGCCATAGATGCGTGAATAATGTCACATAACGCCTCCAACGAGCTAAGGAAAATCTGAAACCTTCTCTCAGCTCAGAAAGAAAGAAGGAGACGGGGACTTTCTCTGCTCCTTCTGGAAGCCCTGCATCGCTGGTCTTGAAGAACTCGTTTGGAAGTTAACCCTTTTCCAAGGTCCAGAAATGGACCTAGATCATTCTACCAACAGAGTCTCCTTTAACCAGAGCCTGTTCCTTTATTCATAGTGTCATACGAGATCCTGCAACTCTACTTCCTCCTCTGACATTTGAGACATGAAGCCACCAGTTGGGATTCTCATTTGCCAGATTTTTTAATTTCTCTTGTTTAAATTGAAATTTAGCTATGTAGTTCTGCCACTTCCTCTTGGGCAGACTCTAACACAGCAAGGTGCAGTGTACATTTACTTAAACGTTTCTTTAAAAAGGACTAGAGCAATGATATTCTTTCATAAGAATAATGAAGCATTTGCTGTTATATGTGCAGTCCTAATGCATCACAGAACACTTTTTAGCTATTTCTAGGAAAAATACTTCAACCATTAATCACATCGACAAATTTTCCCCTTTGAAACAGATGATACTTTACATGCAAAGTGAAAAGATCAGAATCCTTGGCAGATTTATATCTTTAGGGGGCAAGAGATAACATTTCAGGAGTCTTTTCTATTCAGTAGCAGGAACACTGATTTTATTGTATATCCTTTATTCACAGATACCCAGTAATTGAATAAGAATAGTTAACTGCTCTCTTAATCTGGAGTCTCAAAAAAAAAGTGTTCCTCTCCCTACCCCTCTTTAAAAATCATCACACATCATTGACCCTTTGATAAAAAAGTGTTTCATACAGCTCTGAAAGTTGGATGGAGAGTGCACCGGAGTCTTTCAACTTCGAAAACATCAGCACAATGTGCTTTTCTGAAAAGAAAGACCTCTGAAAATAAGGACAACAGTTACTTATAAATTATATAAATCATTTTAGTTAAACCAATGCTAATCATGTATGGGCATACTTAAACCAGTTCACACTGGTTTATGGCTGCTTAACATGTCAATTATACAAAATAAAAAGGAAGATGTCAAGAGAAAAAATGTTTGATTCCTATTAAGAAACTAAATGGTCGTTTGGTGAAAAAGCTATGATACATTTGTGGGCTATAGTTTCCTTCACCAGCAAAGTTAAATAGTAGTTCTTCCTTCTTGTAGTGAAAAGTCTTTGAAAGGTAAGTAGTAATTAGTCAATTATTAATTAGGTCAGCTGCAATGATAAATCATTTTCTTTCCTTAAAAAAAACTCCTCTTTCATCTGATGTAGTCAACACCACTCAAAGTATATACCTGATGCCACCTGCCTCTCAATCTCTGGATCTGAGGTGGCCCTAGAATTGATCGTTGGGGCACTCTGCTTGAAATCAACTGCCAACCAGCTGTTGATCACTACCAGATGGGCGTGACAATCTAGTCAGCTTTCTATCCACCTTACAGTCCATTTATCTGTACTTCCTTAACTTGCTGGCAAGAATACTGTGGGAGACTAAATCAAAAGCTTTGCTAAAGACAAGGTATATCACAACCACCAACTTCCTCATGTCCACAGAGCCAGTTTCTTCATCATAGAAGCTAATCAGGTTGGTCAGGCATGATTTGCCCTGGGTGAATCCATGTTGAATATTCCTGATCAGTTTCCCCTCTTTCAAGTGCCTCAAAATGGAATATTTGAGGATCCCCTCCATGATTTTTCTGGGGACTGAGGTCTATAGTTTCCTGAATTGTCCTTCTTCCCTTTGTTTAAAGATGGGCACCACATTAGCCCTTTTTCAATTGTCCAGGACCTCTCCCGATCTCAATTAACTTTCAAAGATAATGGCCACCTTTGGATGCATGAAATCTGATCCCATGGATTTGAGAGGCCCTCCATCTCTGATCACAAGATTATTGTAACCAAGACAGTCTCCCGGGATAGAATTGTTTTGCTAACTATGCTTGCATATCTATAATTTGCAGAGTTTTCTAATTTAATCATAGCAGTGTTTTGATTGGATGTTGAGGGAGCGCACAGCTCTCACAGTCAATGTGGTGTGCAATCAGCACACACCTCACTTCATGTGCCCTTGCTTTACATGTGTATCACTTTATCAATACTAGAAGGAAAAAAAACGACATGGATGAAACCCAGCAGAATCTGGTAACCTGCATGTGGGTAACAGTAAACAAGGTGTCTTGTGAGCCACTCACAGAAACCCAAGGGGCTGCATGTGACCACTGGCATAATGTCTAACTAAAGGAAAGTCCTAAAAGAAGTTGCTACAATTTTAGTTCAGTACTGATAACAGGTTACTGTTTTACAGAACTGCACTGGTGTACTCCAAGAAGTACGCTGACAAGAAGATAAATGAAAGTCTCTTCTAGAGGATGCCACCTCATGCATATTCTTCTAAGTGGGAGATAAAGAAACATAACTATAGATAGACTAAGTTATTCTGTGCTAAAAAAAGAAATAGTTATTACTAAGGCTATCAATTTTCCCCATCAGATTATTCACTGAAGGATCCCCTCCGGCACCGACATTGACACCAGCACCAGCAATCATAGCGCTGCCGATGCCCACGCTTTCATGGACGGCATTGGGGGGCCTGGTACCGCAGATTGCTCTGGTACCACAGGTGTATATGTCCTCCCAACTGCCTCCCTTGGCAATGGAGCAACTGCATCCGACCCCAATACCAGTAATGCCTCCACCAGCACTGGACCCGGTGCTCAGAGGGAAACCGACAGCCATAGCCCAACACCAGAGGGAGAACACATCAGAAGATCCCCCATGGTCAGCCTCTGACTACTCATTGGAGTCAGAGGCCAAATCTGTACGCTCGGCAATGTCCTCATACAGGTTGAGGTCCCGGCACTGCTCCTGCTTCAATCATAGATCACGGCACCGGAGCCCTGCAGATACACGCACTTGCCCCCCTCCCCAGTGGCAGCCATTCTGGACTATGTGGGCATACCACCAGGCTCAAGACCCACCTCCCCTGATGTCGGTGTCATCGTGCCAGGGGAGTGTGCCCTGAGCGACTCCCCTGCACAGAGCTCCCACCCATCAGAGGCAAGCCATCCAGGTGACAAGGATCTAGTAAGACCTCCAGTCATAGGGTAAGTTCCTGGGGCTATGGCGCTTCCATCAGAGGTAGGCCAGGTGGTAAGACAGTGGAATTGGTGGAAGAGCAACTGGGGGTTAGAGAATCATCCTCCTCCTCACCAGATGAGGCCTTAGCAGACTCTGCCCCACCACTTCCATCAATAGATGTTAGGGTGCACTAGGATCTGTTTAGGAGATTGGCAGCTAATCTATAGGTCCGAGCTGAGGAGGTCCAGGATGAGACTGACCCTATGGTGGACATCCTCTCTGTAGCCACTCCGGGTAGAGTGGCATTACCACTCAACAAAATGGTGGACAAACTGTCTAAAACCTTGTGGTAGATCCCGGCCTCTATCCCTCCCACATAAAAGGGGGTGGAGAGGTGCTATTTTGTCTCCCTGGTGGGTCATGAACACCTCTTCACATACCCTCCCCCTGGCTTGATAGTAGTGCAGGCTGCCGGGCAGAAAGAGTGCCAGGGCCGATGCCCAAATCTGAGCCCAAGAAACTCGATCTCCTGGGAAGGAAGACTCATGCCATGGGGAGTCTTCAGCTCTTCATCACCAATCAGCAGGTAATACTGGGTAGATATGCCTACAACACCTGGGTGTCCATGGACAGATTTAAAGACCATCTCCCACAGAAGTCATGGCAAGGATTTGGGGCTAGAACAGAGGCAGGCAGAACAGTTGTGTGAATAGTGCTACAGGAAGCCCTGAATGATGCTGACTCAGCAGCCTGCATGATGGCCACAGCTATAGTAATGAGAAGAAGTGCATGGCTCCAAGTGTTGGGCATCCCTCCGGAGTTGCAGAATATATTACAGGACCTTCTCTTTGAGGGGGTGGGCCTGTTCTCAGACCAAACAGACTCAAAACTCCATAGTCTTAAAGACTCCAGAGTGACTTTGAAGTCTCTGTGGAT